AAAGATGCTATCATATTGAAAAATGAAATACGAATCAAAAATAAATGAATAAGCAATTAAGTAAATACATACTTAATATTTAGACTATATTATCATGTATTGTTGTGGTTGCTATGAAAGAATTATACCTGAAAATATGTTGGTCACGTGTGCTTTTTCAAGAATCAACCGTTGATTTTGTTCGTTTTGCTATGCTAACATTTGAAATTTCATTTCATTTTCAAATTTCATTATTTTTCTTTTCGAAAATTTGATTGAAGTTTCATTTCATTTATTTATCTTGAATTATTTCATAATCTTTTAAAAATATTTACTGCTTTAGCTAAAATGTTTAATTGGAATTAGGCGGAAGTGAAAAGCTAAGAAAAAAATTGATGAAATCAAAGTTAAAAAAAAGATTTAATTTTGATTTTTTTCTAAAATAAATTCAATATTTATTCTTTTTTAGTTTATTTTTTTGGTAACATTCACAGCAGTTGTTCTAATAAATGTTAATATTGGACTTGCAATTGGTGTTGTTTTTGCGCTTCTTACTGTCGTCTTACGATCACAATGGTAACTAGAATAATCAAATTTATATAATAGTTTTAATTTTGTATAATTCATTGAAAATTTTTTAAGTTGATAAATATTTTTAAAAAAACTTAATTTAGTAATTGGTTGAATAAATTTATATATTTAAGAAAGAAAATTTTCATTTATATATTTAAAATGAAAAAAAAAAAAAAATGAATAGAAAGATTTGATATTTTGATCTTTTGCATTATTGCTTCATTATCACATTATATTATTCAAATTTAACTAACATAGACAAATTTGAATTTTGGGGTTCTTAAAAATTATTTCCTAATTCTTAAATTTGATAAAATCAAATTATAAGCAAACTATGTTTTATTCCTTTTTTTTTTTATATTTGATTATTTTAAAAACATTTTTGGTTCATTTTATATTCTACGATTAACAAAAAAAAATTTTTTTGCATCAAAGTTAAATTTCTAATAATTTATAATAAAAATAAGAAATAAATGATTAAGGGCAGAAAGTACATGCATGGGACGCATTCCGGGGACATCAGATTTCAAAGGTATTGGCCATTATCGTGCAGCTATGGAAATTTCGGGTATTAAAGTATTTCGATTCGATGCACCATTGTATTTTGCAAATGCTGAATTATTCTTATCAAGCATGCATAGGTTTTTATTTTCTAATTTGCATAATTGTTTTCGTTTTTTTTTTTTTTTTTTTTGGCATTAGTAAGAAAAATAGGAAAAAATGTTAATTCTCGAATTGAAATTTGCAAATTAGTTACATAAATTAAGATTACAATGATAAGAAATGAATTGATAAATCATAATTATTTATTTTATTATTTTGATTAGATTTCTGAATTCCTTTTTTTTTGCTTAATTTGTTAGTTTCTTTTTTATTTCCATTTCATTTTAGCGCAACAGGCCTTGATCCATTAAATATTGTAGCAAAACTTAAGCAAACAGTTAATCAGAAGAAAAAAGCCACAGATGATATTGGTAATGAAAAAGATGAAAATTTGAATAGAGATGAAGAAATCCGTAAGTTTATTTTGAGAGATTATTAATAAATAATGCCAAATTATTTGTTTACTAATATCACTCATTTTTAGCCTTTTTTTTTCTTTATTTATTTACTTAGATTTATTTATCATATTTATCAATCAAATTAGTGTATTTTCATTCATTCATTTGTTCATTTTAATTTTCTTTTTTTTTTTTTTTTGCTTATTTTTAAATTTATTTATTTATATGTTTTCAGCAATAAATGTTTCAAATACAATTTATTGATGTAAAATTTTTTATATTTTTCCAAGAAAATAATCTTTCCAAAATTTAATATTTAGACAATTTCTGATATTATTTTTTAAATTCTATTTCTTTCTTCTTTTTATCATCGTTTTTTTTTTTTTTTTTTTTTCCAAATAAGAAAACTTACTGTAATATCGAATTACTGTAAGCAAATTTATTTATTAGAGTTGACAGTACGACGACATTGCATTCATCCATCAAAGCGAAATATTGAAAGAAATGAGGAATCAGAAGATTTAATTCAATTAACACACATTATTGTCGACTGCTCGTCATTTCCTTACATCGATTTAATGGGCGTTGATGCATTAGCACGAGCGCATGCTGACTACAAAGCTATTAATATTACTGTATTTTTCGCCTGTTGTAAAGGTTATTTATGATAGAACAATGTATTTTATCGTTTGCTATAACAGAAATATTGTTGTAAGTTATATATTTTTGAAATGAATTTAAAAAAAAAAGAAAAAAGAAAGCATTAAAAGTAATTATAAACAAAAAATCTTTTAATTCATGACAAGATAATAAATTTATTTCATCTTACATATATGTTATTTGTATAAATTTAGCTATAATTTTTTTAATGATAAAAATTATCAATAAGAATAAATGAGAGGAATGAGAAAAAAATTTGTTTTATTTCGTTTTTTTTTTTTTTTTTTTTTTTTTTTAATATTTTTTAATATTCAATATTTTTTTGATATATTTTTTCGAATATTGATGTTCAAGTTATAATTGAAATCATAAATATGAAAAAAAAAAAAAAAATGTTGAATATATTACAAGAAGTGATGTATTTAAGTAGCAGTACGTCAAATGTTCGAGAATTCACACTTTTATGAGCATGTGCCGAAAAGTTACATGTTTGTATCATTGCAAGATGCTGTTGCACAAGCACAATATGAACAACAACAAGATATTCGTTTTGGTGGTAGTGTTGAAACAATTCCAAGCAAAATTATGGTTTGTTTGTTTTTATTCTTATAAATATTGGTAATTTAAAAAAAAATTAAAAATGAAAAATTAAAGTTGAAATAGCTATTGTTTATAAAAGAATATTGACTTTGTGTTTTTTCTCACACCTGTAATTAATACTTTAAAAGTTTTTTTTTTTATTTTTATTTCTAAGTATGGTAAAAAAAAAAGTGATGGAATAACGACAATAAAAGTACATACGGGTAAATAACTAAAGTAGAAATTGGACTTTTAAAAAATGGACCTGATCTGAAAGCACTTTCTATTATAATATTTCATAAATCTTCATTCAGAAGAAAAATGATTTTTTTTTTAAAAAAAAAATTTATTTGTAAAATATAAAAGAAATAATTTTAAGCTACCGTCAATTAATTTGGATGTTACACAACATTCGTCAAGAAGTGATAAATGATAGGAAAGGATAAACGAAAAATAATTAAAACGATAACAATAATGTCAACAACAAAAACAATAGCAATAACAACAACAGTAACGATGACGATAATAATAATAATAATAATAACAATAATAATCATAATAAAGTATTAAAATTTTGTTGCGCTAATAAAATATAAAAATGCATTGGCAGCTATGCTTTAAAAAAAATAGCTGAAATAAGAATAAATCACAAATCAAAATTAAAAAAAAAAAGGAAATTTGGTAATTTAAGCTAAACAGCACACTTGTTGACCATTGGTCACTTTTTTAAATTTCTTTCTTTGATAATAATGCTATGATCAGATAATTTATTGCAAAAAAAAGTGTAACAATGAAAAGCAAAAAAGAAAAGAAAAAAAATTAACAATCGTTTTATTTTTTGCTTTTATTAAAAGCTATGAAAAGTTATTTTATGCAGTCGAAACCAATAACGAAAAAATTAATTAAAAATTAATCATATAATTGATAAGGGAATGTATTTATTCCAATAATATTACAACGATAATTCAAATAAAAAAGTAAAATTTCAAAATAGTAACGAAGTAAAAAAAAGAAAAAAATGAAGGATAATAGCATTTCATAGATTGGATTAAATGATAATTAATATTTTCGTTGTAATTTTTTGCTTCTTTCGAAAATTGGAATTAATTTTACATTAATTTTGGTTTTTCTACATTCACAATTGTAATTTTTAATTCGTTTTTTTTTTTTTTTTTTTGTCATATTTAAATATAATTTCAAAACTTTTTCACAATTCATAATCTCTACCTCAACAGATGACAGCCAATGAATTTAATTGTAATCATATCATATGAAATACCGGTTTAGAGTATGGGTTATGTTGATTACTCATTACTGATGATGGTGATGATGATGATTTCATAATTTAAAATTCATATGGATAATATGTGTTTATGCAAACACAGTAAACGAGTGATGTTGTAACATTCAATTGAAATTAATCTTCTTCTATACTAAAATTTATCTGTTATATTATTAATTTAAATAAGTATTAACGTTAGTTATTACTCAAACTATTGGTGATTACTCTAATTTTACTATTTTTTTTTTTTGACTTTTTGTTGGTTATTTTTAATCACACCAAACAATAAATCATCATTATCAATATTATCAGTGTTACTATTAACATAGTTTTTACTACAACAAACTGTCATTATTTCTGTTATTATCGTTTATATTATTGTTATCATTTCTATTATTGCTATCAGTTAAATCAATTGGTTGCTACTGTTTCCAATTATCATTAGTATTGCTATGCTCAAAATATTAATTAATTGGTAAATTATTATTAGAAAGAAAATTTGTTTGGCTTATTAAATTAGCCAAAACAAATTAGAATTTATTCACACTTGCGAATAGTGTATTGCTGTTTTCCTGATATTATATTATTACTTACTTGATATTATATTATCCTGATATCATATTATTGCTTTCCTGCTGTTATTTATTATTCCTTTTTGCTTTAGTTTACTAAATTGCTTTTTTATTGACAATTTGTTTTTATTCCTAAACTGCCAATTAAGAAAATTACCTATTTTAAGAGCAAAAAACGCGTATATTATTTCAATCAAGAATTTATTCGCAAATAATTTCAATACATCCGCAAACATTTATTATTTACCAATCTCACAATTTTAAATATAAACATATCTGATATTGCCACTTTTATCAGTTTCATCATCAACATCATCATTGACATCACCATCATCGTTATCATCGTTATCATTTATGCTACTACAAATTATTATTACTACTACCATTTGGCTTCTTTTACCATTTTGTCCACATCGGTTTGCATTACTTGTGAATAGTCAGCAAATTGATTGTGATATTTTGAATCCAAGATGTCGGGAACATTCTCGACAAGTGATCCATGGAACAACTCTTAAGAGCAAAACTTCTCGATGTTTACAAAAAGATATTTGGCTCATTCCAGGCAATGCTGATGCAAGCTGTTGTTAGTTTCATTTCAAATAATACGGCTTATTAAAATTAAAAATTTTTTCTTTAATTTATTTTACTTTTCTTTTCAAAAAAAATAAAACAAAAATTATCACGCCTAAAAATAAAAGCAATAGTAATTGCAATTATAATAAGTAAATAAAATAAATAACTAGATACAAATATTATTTTCATTTTTCTAGGCTTAGCTTCTTTAAAAAATGCAAACAAACACAAATTATCGATTCTTTTTTACTGAATTCATTTAAACGAATTCAATTAGAATTATTCATTGTAGTCAAATTATCAAATAAATTTGTCACTGTTGAATAGTTTAAAAGTACTTTGATAAATGCCATCACCACTACTTCCGCATCAGGACATTTGACACTCACGATTTTTTTTTTTTTTTTTCAATAAATTATAAAAACTGAAAGAGAAAAAAAAGTACATACACGAAAAAAATGAAAAAGAGTGTTTTCTGTATAGCATAAACACTTTTACATTTTGTCAATTTTATAAATCCAGTTTTAATTATTGATAGACATAGGAGAAAAGTAAAAAAAAGAAATTACCAATAGATATTTAACTGTTTGAATTGGAGCTGAAATAAATTATGGATCAGGTTAAATGAATAACCGGTTTTTCATCCATTCAACATTATTATCTCTCATCATCCGGATCATTTCCAATAATTTATCCTCTATTTAACTACCAATAATAAATCGTTAAATATTCATAATAAATCGTATCATTTTAAATTATTTGAAAGATAGCAGAAAATTAAACAACATACAATGGCTATCGAATAATAATAATAATAATAATAATAATAATAATAATAATAATAATAATAATAATAATAATAATAATAATAGCAGATAGAGCTTTTAACTGTGACAAAAGTGGATGCTATAACAATAACATATTAGATATGATAACAATAACATATAAAAAAATCATGATTAACAGTGACAGTGTTAGCTGTACCACTAATACTTATAGTAGATGCATTAACAACAAGAAATACAAACAATAACAATATGAAAATTAACCTAATATTAGCATATGTGATATAAAGGCTAGAGTGGGATAATGAGTTAACAGTGGGTTAATTTTAATTTTACCAAGTAGAAAATTTTTTAAGCGAGTGAATTCAGACAGAATTCAGTTATATATATTCAGATAAAAATGAATTCAGATGAATTCTGCAGATGGATAGGCAGAGAAGCACATTTTTATTGAAAATTAACATTTATAATTATTATTTGTTGAATAGGAAATGTAATAAGCTTCATTTAACATCCTGTTAATCCATAATATTCATTCAATCATTTATTGATTAACTAATCAGCTAAGGAATGAAGTAATATTAAAAATTTAGAACTTACATCAATTAATAGATCAAACTATTAAATTGGAATATTTTGTGTATTTGGAATAGTTTCGAATATGTAGAAGCTGAATTAATTGATGAATAAATCAGTAATAATAAAAAGTTTTTAAAACTAATGTCATTGTATCATGCAAAAAACAAAATCCAACTTTATTATATATTTAATTTTTTAGCTCGACCTGGTTCAAAAAAGATATTGGAGGTGGATCCACGACAAGTAATCATTCATCCAAAAGTAGTAAAACTTCCTGGTTGTTTTAATATTGAAATCAAAAATATTCGTGTGCTAGATAATCATGGCGCAATTGGAAATAGTTTGTTCGCAAAAGTTGAATATCAGTGGTGGAATGTAAAAGATTTCGCAGATTTAAAATGTCAAAATGCTAGCAGCAATGGATGTGGTGGTTATGGAAATAATTGGTAATTAAAAAATTATGTATATATTTTTTAATAGAAAACTTTTTCAAGTTATATTTAAAATACTTATTTAATTTTTTGAAATTTGCACTTTTTTTCCGAATATTTAGTATTCCAAACTTTTGCCAGCAATTAATACTTTTTTCACTTTTAAGTTATGTTTTTTATGAATAGAAATTTGAACAGTAGTGAAAATACAGTGATATTTCTGATAAACTAAAATAGTTTAATGAAGCTCTCATTTCATATATTTGAAAGTTTATTAGCTAACAACAGTGTTTCCACGTGCTAAAAAAAGATAAAAGATCAGTTATTACCAACGAAGAATGACCATAGGTCACTTTTTAATACTAGAAACTTTGACCTGATAGTGCACTTATATTGATGTGATTTCTATAGTTAAAGATATTTTCAAGAATTCACAAAACCACTTCTTATCAATTAAATAAAATTTATACTATCAAATATTTCAAATGCTTAAAGAAATATTTAGCATAATATGCTAATTTAAACTGTTTAAGTTAGCTTGATGTTACAGTCATCCTAGCGTATAAATTTAAAATTAAAAAAGAATATAGTATGTATAAATATTAAATTAATACTTTAATTTTCGAATAAATAATACAAATATTGATATCGTTAACAAACAATAACTTATCACTTATCATTCCAGTAATATATTAAATTAAAAAAAAAAATTTTTTTTCTGTACAACATATTTGACAGCTATTACTGTAACATCTGCGAAAGTTTACATCATTTACAAGAAGAGAGAGGAAAATCAGCATTGACAGATCAGCTTAAAGGAATTAGCTGCCCAAAATATCCAGGATTCTATACTTTCAGGTAAATATATGAACCTAATAAACTGTTGAAGTTTATTTCACCTGGTTAATTAATACAATCCAATTAAATAATTATCTGTCATCTAGAGAAAATATTTCATAGTAGTTCATTTACTATTATTATTGAAGTAATTCTCCAGTTCATGAGTGATGCACTTTACATTTGTGTACATTTAGCTTCTCTTCCAGGAATTTTATCACATTAAAGGATTTTCGATAGATTTGAGCGATGTTGATTTAGCTTGTCTCCTATTAATTAAAGATAATTGAGATAGTCTCAATTAGAAATGATATATAGTTAAAATTACAAATACGCCATAATTTAGAAAAGAATTTTGTTTCAATGATTGGACTGCTTTTGATAGTAATGGTGATTGTCAATTTGATTTCTTCCAAGGTGACAAGTTTTCGGACTATCGATCTGCATTTTCTTCCTTACAACAAGTTGGATATGTGAGCTTTACCCTACTTATCTTTTTTTTTAAAATTCACAAATGAACTTTCTCTTGCAAACTTTTTTCATTTATGTTTACCTTATTAAAACAAATTTTCATCCCGCTATTTCGATAGTGAATGATTGAGATGAATAATTTGAATAATGTCAGAGTTTTTTTATGAAATTTTTACAAGCTGTTATCTAAGATTACTAAGATTTCTCAATCGCATCTGATTTGTTTTTAATATATCCTACTTTATCTGAACAAACCGTCCTTAATTCTGATGTTGCTCATTTCATCATTATATTTCAGCAATTAATTTACTTTGTTCAATATTTGTTATGAATTTCGGTTAAAAATCTAACTTTTACTATGGAGAAACTTTTTTCTTAAGTGTTTCTTCAATAAATCAATTTTTCTCTCATAGGGTACCGTAGTGGCAAAATTGCGCTTAGCAGCAAATGCAACAGATGAAATTGCTAGAAGAAAACGAATCAAGGAAACGCTAATTGAAGAAAACATACGAAAAGAGTTAGAAGAAAGAGGAAAAACGTGGAATATTGGTAATGAGCAGTTCGAGAAATTTCGACTGTGGTATATCAATTACCGCAAAGATACATGGCATAGGTAACAGAAATATAACATTAATAAGTAAGAAGAGAAATGAAAAACAAATGATTCTCAGAAATGTAATTTTAACCATAAATACTACTGCTTTCTTTAAAATTTATATTTGTTAAAAACACAGAAGAATCAACTTATGGTTCTATCTCTACACTTATGATTTTAACTACTCAAATACATTTATTTCCGGGTAATTAGTTTGGAATAGCTTTACAATCTCATCATGCATATTTAGTAATGACTAATACAACATTACCAATGTACCAATATACGTAGTTTTGATAAAATGACATTTCATAAGTCTATTCAAATTCAATGATTTAAAAAATCACATTTCATAGATTTTTATACTTTCTACCAAGATTCCAATTTCCATCAATGGAAATTTCCTACATTAATTATTCACTAATACAACATTACAAATGTCCAGAATTCTCTCAACTTCTAGATTTCAATTTCATTTAATTTCAGGGAAGAATACTTACCCTGGCTCCTGTATGAGAATGAAATCTCATGCATACGAGTCACTTTCGACGTTTGTGAACGAGTCCCCAAACGTAGTCCATTTACTGGTCAGTTAACCTGCTTTTAGAATGAGTGCTATTTGAAAAAGAATGACTAATAGTGCATGATGATCTCCAACCGACGACATCAATTTGACATCAATAACTACTGATAAGATAAAATTTCATTTGTAATTTCATCATCAATTCACAAAAGTTTTTCATATATACAGTTAGAAGAAAAAGACTTTAATTCCACCACTGTGAAAACATTCTCATATTCAACACCATACGTTCGTGCTATTTTCAAAATACATATGTAAATTCGGATCAAACAAACTTGTTAATTTTACTTTCTTTAAAATCTGTTAACAAACTAGGTTTTATGTTCATAAAAAAGAAGAAAAAACGAAAAAAAGTGATATCGCACTGGAAATTTATATCGAAATCAGCGATCTGTAACGAAACTTATATGCATATTATAATCTAGTTGATGATTGTAAATTTTGCTATTCTTTGTAAAATGTGTTGTATACAAGAAAAACACTTAAAGCAGATGGATGACATAATTTATTTCCTGATTTTCTTTTTCGTAAGAAATTTTCTATACATGTTCATGAAAAAAAGTTAATGCTCTAAAAAAAGAAAAAAATTCCATCAGCTTTATATGTTACTTATAGCTGTTATTACTGCCACTGTTAATTCATAATTTTTATAAAATAAGGAAATGTTTGTTGCAGAAATAAAAATGACTATGAAATGCTACACATATTACAGTTATCGAGTTAAATTTCTCTCGATCGTATATTTGCTATTTCGCGGGCTTTTCTTCGTCTTTCCAATATAAGTTCACGTCGCAGTTGTTTACGCTCATTTTCTTGATGCAGTCTATCCAATGCCTCACGATGTCGAATTATTGCGCGACCCAACTGTTCACTCGTCATTGCTGGTCGTCGTGATCTATGTGGTGTCTCGATAGGCTAAATTAGAGCTATACAAGGCAAAATCCCTAACTTGAAAAACTTTTACGGTAAATGTTTCAGTAAGCCAATGATAGTTTATTTAAATGCAAGGTTCAAGTGAAAAAAACATTGCATGAAGAAGACAATTATATACTTTCGACAACGAAGTCTTTTAGCTGCTTTTTCGACTACTCATTAATAAAAAATATCCCTCACCAATTCACTGTTATCTACATGAACCGGGGAAAGTACATCATTGGAAGTTAAGTAATTTCGCTGAATGATAGCGTCCATTATACGCTTTTTAAGTTCCTCCATTTCTTTCTGCTTTGCAATTTTTACTCTCTCCCGGATTTTTGCCGCATTTTCAGCACTTAACTGTCGCACTTGCTGATATCTACAATTTTTTGATTGTTAAATTAAGTTGAAATGCTTTATTTATACACTATAAGCTTTGAAAACTTTGCTCATTCTTAGGAGAAGTAATCAGTTGATGTGGAATTTCATTCATCTTTTAATTTACTAGCAGGCAACAACCATAGATTGGTGTTATTCTGAAGCTATCTCACGACAAAAAAAGGTTATTAACAAAACGAAAGACAATGTAGATCTCACATGACATACAGCAGACTGAAATGTAAAATAATAAAAAAAGATCATATTCATAAAAACTGAGACAGTAGTTACAAGCTTTAAAAACAAGATACCAGTTGAAAGATTTCAGTACTTCAAATGTTTTCTCCTACACTTTAATACATTTCTATCCAATATTTCTCTCATTCCATATATTCCATCTATAGAAGTTGATAGAAGAGGAAGAGAGAGAGAAAAAAAAAAACAACTAGTGGAAGCTGAAAAAAAAAATGTAGCTTCCCTGGTAATATTATTTAAAATTTTACTCAAACATTAATAAAAACAATAAACCTAAACTTATTGATCGATCCATACTGCTATAATCATAATAATTAAAAGCTTAATACTTATCATGCCTTATCAATCGACGTCTTTCGCGTTCCTTTCGTATAATGTTTTCTCGCTGATTTGGTGTTAGTATTGCTAGTTGCAAAGAATTTCTAGCAGCACCACTACAACGTCCCATTTAGAAACCTGAAATTATTCTCACCAAGATAGATAGTCCTGGTTTTCTTCATCGTTATTAAAGTAATTTCAACTGCTAAAAATATTATGTCAACGAAATCTTAAAGCAAAAATTGAATACGACAAGTCCGAAACAAAACGCAAATTTGAAAAGATTTCAAATCCGAATAACAAATTACGGCCGGTAGTGGTAGCGATGGGAAAATTCGATGTTTCATTTATTGCAATAACATTTATGTTGCTGCACTTAATTTAATTCACTTTGGTTAATTTTGTAAATGCCGGTTTTGATTATTTTTCTTTTCACAATGCACTTACATATGAATAATGATATATTTTTAATTGTGGGAGCAAGAAATTTAGATTTAGAAGTCAAATTTGAATTTTAAATATAAGAGTCAAATTTCGGTTTTTTTCAATTCATCTTTTACATTTGCACTGCATGCAAATCAAATTTGTTATTTGAAATTTCTTCTTTTCAGCGAAAGTGATAATTAACTGAAACTTTTGATTTGAAATTGCATGCATCGTTTTGTTGCTAAATGATAACGAGTTGTTTTATTTTTGACCTTCCCTCAAACTAAGTTGTATTTTTTCATATCATAAACAAAAAAAGAACCAAAACTCGGGAGTATTCTGCATAGTCTTATTTCACTTTACAGTGTTTTTTAAAAATTATTTCCTTATAAGTAGTATATTACTCATAAAAGATTATTATATTGCTGGTAACCTCATTTACTATCACAGTTTTTCTGTTATTTACTTTTTAATTATTTTTTTGGTAAGTCGAGTCATATTACAGTGTATTCTTTTATATTCTAGTCAACTTATATCACTAATCAGTGATTTGTTGTGATCATAAAACGAACAATACGCGAATTTTCTTGAAAATTTCTTTCAGATTTGTTGCCTGGATTGAATGCATGGTTGTGGAAGTGATAACGAGCAAATAACTGACTGTAGTGATATGATTGTTGCTGATTTGGTGGAACCTATTGCAGGAGAATCGGAAGTATAACGTTTTTCTTTTTCACGATATTCATTTGTTGTCATTTTATGAATTTATGTAATTAAGAATGATACTTAAGTAATTAAGAATGATTGATTTGGAATTCATTTGAAATAAATGATATACTTAGACGTTGTATACTTGAACAATTTGCAGGCACGTTAATAACTTCCGTAATTTAAGCATGAAAACTTAAATATTTAATTGGTACTGAAATATACAAGATTTAAAGCAGAACTTTAGTTCTGTTGGTTGTATGTTTCTATCTGTAAACTGATACGGAAAGGTTTTGTAATGCTCAGAGTATTTGAAATATTCAAATATTTGACACTTTTAGTTTAATTCCGATTGAATACAGTGGCGAACTGTTTATGTTATAGAAATAATCATTATTATTAATCTAAGTTACCAATTATTTTTAATGGCAAATAATCTATTTAAAGTACTGGGGATCACCTCACATACTAATTAATGATTAATCACATACTGATTAAGAATGATTAATTTTCTATATAGATTCATCAGGTTTCATTATTATTAAGGATTGTATAGACTTTTTGAAAATAATTTTTTTCTAGTAGACAATGACTAATGGAGCGTTAAGTACACAACCATTAGTAAAAAACTGAACTGTGCATATAGAAATAAAAATTAGAAGCTTAATTTCCGATTATTTCGTAAGTTGCTAGGATCAATTAATTACATTAAAATTACAGCTATATGTTATTTCTGTCCAGCTATTTTTTATAATTTAGTAAATATTATTATTATTATTATTATTTGATCACTGAAGAATCAACAATTTACCATTACTTTCAGGAACATAAGATTCGATACCGAAGTTTGTCGAAATGTGGTGGAGAAAAACTTGTGATTCTGGACGATTCAGTTACAATTCAGGAATATCCATCAGGTGTAATTCGACGTAGACTTACAGCAGATTTCGCATTACTAGATGTTAGTTATCATTATTGGTTTTTTTTTTCTTAAAATGTTATTTTCATTCATTTATGTCTTGCATTTTCCACTATAATGTTGTGGTTGTTTATGTACTTTTGATCTTTTGTTTATTTGAGTTTTCATATCATATTCTTTTCTTCAGATTCTCATTCACTTTTTTTTAATCAAAAAATTATTCTTTAAAATTCATCTTTACTTACCGACTTTCAAAATTATCTTATTTTATCTTTTATGGACTCTTTTAATTCCTGCATCTTTAAGCTTCAAAAAGCTTTTCTTCACCTCTCAACTTTCTACTCTAGTTTTTTTTTTTTTTTTTTTTTTAGGCATTTTGGTGTGAATTTCCGAACAATTCTGCTGATGTCGATCCATTGCATGGTGTTTGTCTTATTGGACACAAAAATCTTATATTTGCTTCTGATACTGATTGGATTTCTTACACAATTACACTACCGTTCACTGTAATAATTTTAGTTATTTGATTAAAAAATTTTCCAAAAGCTAAAATTTGTGCTATTACTAGATACCAGATGAAAAAAATCTACGAAAGTGTGCATTTTTGTCGTTTTAGACATTTGGAACCCCAATTATCCATTCAAATTTAATTATTCGATCAGATCGTGGACTCAATTGATTTTGCAGGTAAAACGCGTATTTCGAAGTGCATTAGGCTTGATTTTGCAACGAACTGCCCCATTACCGTCATCGTAAGGCTTTTTTAAACAACTTATTTTTCAATTAAATTTGCATTAGTAGCAAATTGTCTAAAGGATATTAGTAGTAACCAAAAGTTAACAATGGAAATATTGTGTGATAGCATTCATTTGCAAATCACTTAAAGTTGCGTTACTATTTAGAAAATTTATAGTATGTATTTCAGAATTGCGAATTTCCCACACTTGTTTTCATTGTCACATCCGTACTGCGAGATATTACCAATAATATCAAAAAATAAAGGTATTTTTACCTTTATTTATTCTGAAGGGAGTGATTTATTTGAATTTGAGCATATAAAATTTTATAAGGATAAAATAACTATTGAAGGTAAATTTGGGCGGCATCAGATTAAGGTAAATGACTGACTTGAGGGATAAAAATATGTGTAATTTCAACAATGTAATTTGTTTAATATCTATGAACTTGTATTGTTTAAAGTGGAGAGACTTATTAAAGAAGTGCTAGTTTTGACAACTATCGAAAATACTTCGATCATTTATAATATTTCAATGTACATTTCAGATTCAGAAGGTTCTTCACATTATGTTTGGGATGGTACCGAAGTAGCATTGTTAGAAGCATTAAATGATTGTCAACTTTTATTAACTTACTCAACGACTGCTCGAGTTCATTCGTTGTATTGGATACGAAAAGCAACAAAAGCGGAGTGGAAATGTGCAGCAAGTAAGGCGGAAAGTGTTGTCTCATGTAATACAACACTTACACCTGTTGGTTAGTTTCTTAATAACTTGAAGGAAATTTCAGGAAGCTATATTTAAATTTGATTTGTGGAGTGCCTTAAAGAATATCTTCTGTCATCCTATCTCATATTAATAATATCAATTACTGAAATCCTTGCAAGATGTTTTAATAATAGAAATATTCACTGTCATTAGTAAATCAGTTTTAAATGCATTGAAGTGAACTGGTAGTAGCTTTTTGTAGAGACTTAAAAGTGGTACGAATTGTAGTTATATTCAGTCATTTACAGCGTATTGCAATGTAGTTTTTGTTTTTGTGACTTATCATGTTAGCTCATTTAAACTAGGATATTTTTAATTTTGTTTTAATTCAAAATTTCTAATACTCAGGAAATTAATCTTTTATGTTCAATTAATGTGTATTACTATGCATTCTACGCACAACACAACAAGTAGAACTTAACTGATTTTCCTGGTGAACAGTGTATGAAAATTAGTGATAAGAATGAAATAATAGTATCATAGTTAAAGTTGTGAATGAGATTTGAAATCTTTTACTTCATTTATCAGGTCGATCAAGTCAACTATCTACACCGCAAATGGGAAGTCAATCAAGGCATCGTTTTGGCAAAAATGATTCGTTTGCTGGTGATTTTTTCTTTTCTTTTTTTTTGCATATTATGATAAATTTCCTTTTTTTTTTTTTGATTTTTGCTTGATTTCTGCTTTCTTTTCTAGAATTCACGGAAAATTAATCCTTTTTTCAGATGATATTTGGGTGACACCTCAAACACGATCAGTTCGTACACGATCCATGACTGCAGCAGCTGCACTAATACAGTCCTTACCTTTTCCTACTACAAGTCCTGCTCAGCGATCTTCAACGAAGTTAGTTTTTTGATATTGTGTTTTTGTTAATTTTATTTATTAAAAATAACACTCTAAGTTGCTTCTATATAAAAAGAAACCGTGTAAAACAACGTTCGGTTTCTGTTTAATCTACTATCGTTACAATAAATAAATACGAAGTTAGAATTTGAAATATCTCAGCGGTATAGAGCAAAGTTTTCTATTTCTTATAGTTTGGAAAGAAAGTTGAAAATTAATTTGACTTCACTTGCAGCCGATCAGTCACAGATTCTCCGATTTTGCGCTTACGAGGAGGAAGTAAAGAATAATTTAATTTAATTTCGAAGGGAATTCTAGATTTTAAAATCACTTTCTTTTTCCCTTAAGCTTAAACCCTAATATTACTGAGAAAAGCTTTGTTTGATATATTTATCCTCTCAAAATTTAATTGCAACTACAAAATATGAAGAAATGCTTCTTTCATCTCTTCTTTCAAAAAGCAGACTGAAAGTATAATACTGTTGTTGAATTTCTGGAACCTTCCGTTTATTTGCTTGATTATTGGTCTGCTGCGTAGTTTTTACTATTGAATTACTTATTGTTCAATGTTGAGTAATTCCATAGAAGATCCATATCTTTTCGGATAATATGTAATATCAGCTATTTTTAAGCGATTTCACATCGGTTCAGTAGAGAAAAAAAATGGTGATATATATCATTGTAGGTGCACATACCACGCCTCGCCTTAGTTCATTTTGTGATGAT